AGTAGAGACGGGGTTTCACCATGTTGACCAGGATGGTCTCGATCTCTTGACCTCGTGATCCACCCGCCTCGGCCTCCCAAAGTGCTGGGATTACAGGCTTGAGCCACCGCACCCGGCCCGGATTCTAACTCTTGATTTACCCCTGCCAGCAGGATGGCCTTGGGCAAGTCAGCTTTACTAAACTAAGCCTGTGTTTAAATAAATAGAATTAAGTAATATATGTGAAAGTTCCTACAAACGATAAAGCCTTACAAAAATAATTGCCATCATTATTATGGAATTTGTCTTCTAACACACATTTATAATCTACTTAACAAGATTCCCAGGAAGTCAGTTATCATTGCTTGTTCTGGCCATATTTTTTATACCTGAGTCCCACTGGCATGTGAATTGGCTGAGAGGTAGAGAAGCAAAATCTATGTGCATGTATCTTTTTATGACCCAAGGAAGATTTTAGGAACTAGAAGACCTGAGGCTAACAGGCAATTCTTTTGTCCAAAGACAAGAAAGGGGAGAGGGTAGGAATGGTGTGAGGCTTCTGGCTGACTATTGCTCCCTGTTTTTGTAACAGTATTCATAGTTAGGAGAGAAATAACTGTCAAAGGGAGGAAATGAAAGCCTGCTCTTCTTTCCTGAGGCCCCTTCTTAACCTCTTCACTAGATTTGATGAGGAAAATCTGAACTTATCACAAAGTAATTGTGGCTTCTACTGTTGAAAATTATTTTTTTGCAAGGCCTGGTGGTTCACGCCTGTAATCCCAGCGCTTCAGGAGGCCAAGGTGGGCGAATTACTTGAACCCAGGAGTTTGAGACCAGCCTGGGCAACATGGTGAAACCTGTCTCTACAAAAAATACAACAGTTAGCTGAGTGTAGTGGCAGGTGTCTGTAGTCTCAGCTACTTGGGGGGCTGAGGTGGGAAGATCAGTTGAGCCCAGGAGGCGGAAGTTGCAGTGAGATGAGATCCTGCTGCTGCCCTCCAGCCTGGTGACAGTGAGACCCTGTCTCAAAAAAAGACAAAACAAAAGGAAAAATTCTTTTATTTTTCTTTCCATTTGTGTCTTTTCCTTTGTATATCTCTTCCCCCATTCTATTCTTTTTCTCACCCTTTGTATGTCATTTCTAAAAGGATCTCTTTTAAGGTACTCTTCCCTACTTTATCATTCTTCTATTCCTTTCCCCTTTTCTCTTCTTTCCTCTATTTGACTTAATTTGGCAAATTACTATAACTATACTTTTCTATTTTATCATATTTTTTTCTTATTTTTTTCTGCCATTTGAAAGTTGGCATTCAAATCTAATATAGTAAATGAAAAGGCCATAAATTAGTAAATTCCATTTCCACCTATGATATGCCACTGGGTACAATGAAAATAAGCACTCATATTAACAAAGAGAATATAGGGTAAAATGCTTTTAGACTATTTGATGGTATATGTTTATATTCACAACCTTGATATGACCTAGTGATATCATACCTTAGAATCTGTTTAAAACAAACATATCTTAAATAATGAAAAGACTATAACATCCTTAATGTCCAGCAATAAATGAAGATGGTTATATGGACTATGTTATAACCATTTAATTTTTACCTACAATAAGTCTTGGCAGACATGGATTTAACATCCAAGGTCAATGACAGTATAAATTTGCACAGTGTTTTAGAGCAATATGGCAATATACCCGTTATAAATCCACGTAGCTTTTGATCTCACATTGTATGTCTAGGTTGCCTTCATTATAAGCTGATACGTGCTAAAATATTTGTAGTGATATTCATTGCAGTGCTAATTATAGTAAGTTTGTTGATATTTTGTTGAATAGTAGTTTCTCTTCTAGGCATTTAACTGAAGGAAATAATCAAGGCTATGGATAGAGATAAAACTAAGACATATTTAATGCCTATTTTTATCTTTGAAAAAATATTAAAATTATGAATGCCCAACAGTAGATGGTTGGTTAAATTATATATCCTGTCAGTGGAAAATTAGGCAGCATTGCAATCATGTTTTAGAAGACTGTGATGGGCTTATCTTCTTCCATTATGCAAATGCGTATACATATGTATACCAGGAAAGAGATGCATCTACACTGTTTTTGTCTAGGTAGTTAGATATAGATGATTTAATGACCTATGATGATGTTTTCTGATATAAATAAAAACCATGAGATCTTTAAAATTAAAAATATTAACCCAAGGCTGAAGAAAAGCCTTGGTGGAAGTAGACCAAATTTTAAACAGTAGCTGTTTTTGAGCGATGGGACTAATAGTAATTTGTAAAACACTTTTGTGTCTTATCTATATTTTTCTTAAATGGGAAAATGAATATGCTTATTTTATTGGAAATATTTTGTTTTTTAGCTTTGATAAAATATGGTTGATAAACAATTAACATAGTACCAAGTAATTTTGGTACTATGTTATTAAATACATGTATTAAATTTGGTACTATGTTATTTGGTACTATGATGTAATTAAGCTTTTGAATTAACAAGATTTTTGTGTTTATTTTATTTTTAGGCCAGAAATATACACACAGGAGAGCTGGCTGCAGTAAAAATCATTAAATTGGAGCCTGGTATGTATTAAAACCCTCAAGACAATTTTGAACAATTTTCTTGTGCACTTCATAAATATAGGTCTTAAAAGTATTTTCCATATTTCTTTCCTTGTTTCCCTTCTTCCCAAAAGAAGTCTTTATATGTTGTATCAGGTCAATAGAATATCTTCAATTAAACTCCACTGGAGGTGGTTAGTTAAAGGTGAGTTTGATGTGACAGTTTTGTTGCCAAATAAAGTTTGACATGTACACATTCAAAATTGGAAGACAGTTGACAATATTAAAGTAATTTTCTTTTAAGATCATAGTGAAATATTTGAATTTCAGATTTAGCTTTTATGAGAATTTGATTAGGAAAGTATTCAGTGATTTTTTTGTGGTGGATATTTGGGATAATGACATTTGCTTGTCAGCTGTTCCCTTTGATTGGTTTAGGTTTGTTAATTCTGGTCTTAGCTTAATGCTTATTTTATTAACACTTCTGTGTGTCAGAAGACTGCTTGTTTTAAAACACAGTGAATAATTTACTTTGAAAATAGAACTATAACCTTGAAACGGTTTTATGATTTTCATATCCTAAAAGTTTCTAATCAGTGTAGTAGTAGTTTTTGACCAGGTAAGTGAATATTTGGTGGTATGTTCATTTGCTGGTTCATAAACTTAGGCATGTAGGGTAAGTATATGACCATAATTACGCGAGTTTCTTAGTTTGAGCAGTTAAAATGACTTTGCATTTCAGACACAGTATTTAAATCATTATATATGTGATTCATTAGAGAGATAATATACTGAGGTAGCATATGCTGGAACACTTTAAAAATAAGCTTTCAGATATGTCCCAGTGTCTTTTTTTTTCTGGACAAATCGAAATTGTTATAATAATACTCTTTCAAGATCCTCTCATTAAGTTCCACCTAAGTATAAAATGATCTCCAAAATGTCACTAACACAAATAGGGAATATAACACAACTATACAAGCATTTGCCTCTCTTGGAAAAGTCATTAGAGCAAATATTCAAATTATATTCAAGGATGATTCAAGTTATGTCCAGGAACTGGCCTGTGCTCTCAGAGAAAACAAAAATGTTTATCCCCTTTCTGCCTTCAGCGAGTGCAGTGGGCTTGTTGTAGCACAGTTTCACTTACTTGATTTGAGGGTATGGCTTATTTTTTTCTAGGTTGATGCAAAAGTAATTGCAGTTTTTGCCAACCTAATATTACAGTTCATTATAATGAATTAATGGGTATATTTTTTAAATTCTGCAATTCTTAATTCTCAGTAAGCCTTATATTAGAACTAACATAAGAAGACAATTTAGTAAAAAAAAGAAAAATATGTGTATGATTACTTAAAATGTAAGGTTTAAATGCTAGGATCATAAATTAAGACCCTTTGAAAGGCTGGAATTTCTTACTGCCTTGTTTTGTGAAAGTTACTGACTATTTTATGTTAGTCGTGACCCATGTATTAAGATTGAATAATATTTCAACTTGTTCCCCAAGAAAGAATAACATGAAAGTTCAGTAAACATTGATGATGTGATCTTAGTATTTGGCCATTTTAAAATTTTGTTGGTTGTCTATTCTTATGTTTTGCCACAGTCCTATCAGGTTATTTGTATTTTATTCTCGATTTTTAGATCCTGTTTGCACTTTGAGGGTAGTGACTCTTCATTATGTATTTTACATTTCCCCCAATTTGTTTTCTTTCTTTGTACTCTGCCTATACTTTTCTTTTCCATGTGGAAGTCTTCTTTTTTCTCTTAGACAAATTTGTTAGTCCTCCTTTCTGTATTCCTCATTTCCCTTACTTAGGCCTTTTCTCCTAATTATAAAAATTTTAACGTAATTTCTTCTAGTTTTTCCTTTTTTCTTCTAAAATTTAAATATTTGCTCAATCAGGAACGAGTTTGTTCTAAGGGATGAGAGAACTCTATGTATATTCTTTTTCAAATGGCTAGTTTCCTAAAGCCGTTACTATGTATTTAGTCTCTTATCCACAGATTTGAAACGTCTTGGTTGTCAATTTCCATGTAAGCATAGATTTTGCATTCTCTTTCAGTGGTTTTCTTTTTTCTATTCCTACTTTAATACTATCCTGATTTTGATTACTGTAACTTTTCATTGCATATTACTATGTAAAATTCCTTTTATTTTTCAGATACTTTCTGTTTGTAAAATGTTTTCTTCAGGAGAACTTTTAAATCATTTTTATCAAGGAGAAAAAAGGCACTTAGATTAATGTAGGAGATTTGGCATTTTTACAGTGATAAAGGTTTTTTCTTATTCAGATGCTTAGGAAAGTTTTTGCCATATACATCTTCATATTTATGGTATTTTTCACTATTGTGAATGTGTTTCTTTTTTCCTTATGCTTTCTAATTGGTTATTGTAGATGTTTACTTCAGACACTGATTTTATTGGATATATTTTGTCTCTGGCAGTCTTATAGAATTCACATTTTTCTGGTAGTTTTCAAATGTTTTTAATTGTTTTTGTAACTGTACAGTCATATCGTATAGAATGTTATTTTTGGCCAGGACTTTCACATTGTAGGTTGGTGCTTCTAGTATTTACGCATTGAGCATTAACCCATTTATGCTGGAGGTTGCAGTTTTTTCAATTGCAGACATGTGAAAAATCAGACCTTGGCGATGACCTTGAGCAGTAGTAGGATATAAATAACTCCCACAATCTTAGAGTTCCAACAATGGAACAGTAGGCATAAATGGGTTCTGACAGAAGTGTTGATCATCTTCCACTGTAGTGATTTTGTTCATTTCTCCTTCCATTTGTGTCACATCTGCTTAATGTATTATAAGTCTGTCATTTGACCCATAAAATTTATTTTTGTATTATGTTTTCATTTCTTTGTTAATTAATGTTTATTGAATGCCTAATTATGCCAAGCTCTGTTCTAGAGGGTAGGAATGTAGAAGAGAACAAAAAGGCAAAGACCTTGTTCTCATGGAACTTGAATTCTAGTGGGAGAGATAGAATGATGGAATAAATATATAATGCATTAGTCACTCATATTGGTCAATGGCTTCAGTCTTTCCCTTACTGTTGTGACTTGTGTCCTTCATCTTTAATCGTTCACTCCCTAGTGCTCTTCTATACCCTTTTTACCGTGAATATAACTTTATCCGACATTGATATTGCCAATGCTGCTTTTTCTTTTACTAATACAAACCTGTATTAGTATGTATACCTTCTTTTAAGAAATATTATATTTATAATTTATAAATGTCACGACCAATTATTTAGACTTAGTTTTATATTTAATAGATTTACTACCCACCATTGGTCTTTTTGTGCTGTTTTCTTTCCATTCTCACCTACTTAGTATCAACTGCCAATAGACTAAACCGTATTATCAAAAAGATTTTCCAGTATTAGGAATATTATATTTTAAATCCACAAGTAGATTGTTCTTCTCAAACCTGCTTTTCCCTCCATCTTCCCCATTTTGCTAAGCAATTAACCAAGCCAAAAATCTGGGCATTAACCTTGGTTTCTCTCTTATTTGTGTTCAAGAATCAGTCTGTCAGCAAGTTGCCTCAACTCCACCTGCAAAACACATCTGAATTTGTCTGCTTATCTTTATTGCCCATCTCCACCCTTTTAGGTCTTGTTGCCTCTCCCACATCTCTCATTTCCCACCATCTAGTTTCCAGAAAGCCTCTTGAGTGAACTTTTTAAAACATGAATTATATCATCACACTCTCCTGCTTAACACTTCCCCGAAGCTTCCATATCCACTTAGAAACATACTCAGATTTTTAGCCTCATTTATAAAACCCTGCGTGATCTGCTCTGCCCACTTTTCTGAGCTCATTGCATATGTTTCTCTCTACTCTAGTATGCCTCTGTTTTCTTTTTATTTAAACAGTCCAAGTTTAAAGCGGTTCTTCTCTTTTGCCTGAGGTAGCTGTTTTTCATGATCTTTGCTCTGAAGGCTCCTGGTCATTCAGACCTCAGCTTAAATAAATATCATATCCTCAGAGAGGCCAATCCCCTTGTTATTTTAGTTCACTTCATAGGAAACGTGAGTGCCTGATACTTTTCTTGTTTGTTTATATGTATACATGTATGTATTTTGTTTGTCTCCTAGAATGTAAGATTCATGAGAATAGTGATTATTCTCACTCCTATATTTCACCACTTGGGACAGCGTAAGCACGTAATGGAAACTGCAGTATTCTTCCTACAAAAGAATATTAAAGATGTCTTTCTGTTGCCTTTGAATGAGAATGACGATTTGACTAGGTATAAAATGATTACATCACACGTTCTTCTCCCTCTACCTTCAAAAAAATCTGTAGACATTTTTTTCCCTTGAATATTGTTGGAAAGAACTGTAAGGTTTACCTGATATTTTTGCCCTAGTAGGTAACTTGCCGTCACTCCTGATTGTTTGTAACAAAAGCTGGCATTTCTTTGTCTTCAAAATTAGTAATCTCAACAGAATATAATTTGGTCTCAGTAATTTTCTATAGGTTTTTCTCTCTGAGACATAATGAGCTGCTTTTTTCATCTGCAGCTTTGATTTTTTCTCTATTTCAAGAAACTGTTTTTGAAGATTCTTGAATTTTTTACTTCATTACTTTGGAAAGTAAAGAATTTTTAAAGTCTGCCATCATATCAATGACTAATTTGTCTCCAGTACTGCTTTTGTTTTGTTTTGTTTTAAATAGGGTCTCTCTCTCTCTCTCTGTTGCCAGGCTGGAATGCAGTGGCATGATCTGGGCTTATTGCAACCTCCACCAGCCAGGTTCAAGCCATTATCGTGCATCAGCCTCCCGAGTAGCTGAAATTACAAATGCATGCCACCACACCCAGCTAATTTTTGTATTTTTAGCAGAGACAGGGTTTCTCCATGTTGTCCAGGCTACTCTGTCGGACTCCTGGCCTCAAGTGATCTACCCATCTCAGCCTCCCGAAGTGCTGGGATTATAGTCGAGAACCACCATGCCCAGCCCCCAGTACTGCTTCTATTACTTGATGGTTCCAGTGCTTTTATTAGTTCTATACAAGTATTATTTTTATGGAGCTTACCCCCTTAACTCCACCAGTTTCTTTCTGTTTCATTTTGTTGCCCAATTACCTATACTCTTTTTTCCCTTTCACATTTCTGAGAGTTTGAAACACTGTTGTCTTAAATTTTCTTTCAAAATGAATTCTTCGTGTCTTCAGCATCCTATATTTATCTTTTTTTTTTTTTTTTTTGGCTGGGGAATTTTGGTGGGAAATCAATGGGTTTTTAGCATTATCAGGAAAGCCAAAGTAGATGGTATTTTTTACATTTTTGGAGCAGACTTAAGGGAATGTTTCGGCTAAAAAAAATATATAATGATATGCTAATGAATTTTCCCAGCTTTCAGTTCAGATACTTCAAATAATTTTGGAGACTGCTGTATTTCAAAAATGAATTCTTAACTATATTCACCAGCTTTCAAAAACTTGCACTAAAACCAGCGTAATACAAAAATGCTTTCTTGTATTGATTTAACAGATGAACTGGTTTAAAATTGTATTTAGACATGAAAAGATAATTATTTGCCAATATGACTTAGAAAAAAACTTATGTCTGGTAAAACATAAACAAAATTTTTTTAAATAAATGAAATTCCAGCTGTAAACTTAATAGTGCTTTTCCCCACTGTGTAAAATAGGATATTAAAGTTTATAGTAATTTTAGAGTCCTAAATTGTATTTACTGACTTGCCTCTGGCAATTTAATTTTATGATGCTATATTCAAAATTTTGCTGAAACAGATTGCTTTTGAAGTTCTTCCTAATATTCGAAAAAAATGCTACAGTAAGCCTTAGAGTTAAAAATAGGTTAGCACCGAGAATCGCTTTTTTAAATTAGCCACAAAAGTATTTGTAAAAGAAAATGAAGTCAGCATCCTTCTTATGTCTGCATGTTCTTGTTACTCTTTGGATATACAGGCAAAATGATTACTTTCAGGAATGATTTACCATTTCTACCTCATTTTTATAGTAGATACTTATTAAATAGAGTTTGACTTACCAGTGATTAGCATTGAAAATAATGCTAGTGGAGTTTTAGTTGCATTTTTCATCTCTTTGGTTAGGCATCCAGAGTTCCCTAGAAGAGCAGGCAGATATTATGATGATTCATGCCACCATGTTTTTCTGTCTTTTGTCTGAATTTCAGCCTACCATCTAACTCATTTTACAGATGCTTAGTTTACTCAAGTCTGTAGCTAGTGGTGGCCAACAGCCAGAGCAGGAACAAAGTTTGTGGGAAAACTTACCATCAGAATCCTTCTTTTCTTCCCCTCTCTCCTTCTCCCATTATCCCTCTTTTATGGTGAAACTACAAAATAGTATTTTAAGCTTATGAAAATTACAGTTTGTTACATATTGGGAGCTTTGCTTACAGGGGTAGAATTTAATACATCACCAACCAGGATGATTAATGTAATACCCTTTTGCTTTGTGCCTTTGCTTATCTTTTAAAATGTTAAATTGGAAATACTTATAGTAATTTTTAATAAAAGTATTTCTTTAGACAGTTTTTGAAATAAGTAGGAATCTTTAACTATCTTTGAATAGATGTTTAAAGCTTTCCTTGGACTTGCAGGGAATACTTTATCCTGTTTCCTGAAAGTATAAGCAGAGAAAGTTGAATATATCTTAAAAAGTCAAGAAGTATACGGAGGTTTAAACCACCCATAGATTTGCCTTGTGAAAATTCTTGAAAGAAATCCCAAGTTAGGCTGTTTGGCCAAATAGGACAAGTGTCAGCTATTCTGGTTAGGTGGTGGTATGTTCTTTACAGAATTTTTTTTTTTTTTTTTTTGGAGACGGAGTCTCACTCTGTCACCCAGGATGGAGTATAGTGGCGTGATCTCAGCTCACTGCAACCTCCACCTCCCAGGTTCAAGCAGTTCTCCTGCTTCAGCCTCTCAAGTAGCTGGCACTATAGGTGTGCACCACCACGCCTGGCTAATTCTTATATTATTAGTAGAGACAGCGTTTCACCGTATTGGCCCAGCTGGTCTCGAACTCCTGACCTCGTGATCCACCTGCCTCAGCCTTCCAAAGTGCTGGGATTACAGGTGTGAGCCACCGTGCCCGGCCATTTTCAGAATTTCTATTCAAACTCTAACAACCTTTATTTTTAAAAATATTCTGTAAAGTAAAATATTTGTACCCTGTCTTCACTGTTTGGACAGTTCAAATCTGAATTAATGGAAAATGTTAATTTGAAGGCACAAATACATGCCCCAAATGTCATTTTATTAGTTTTAAATAATAGATACAGAAAATGAATAAAGGTTAGTGTTGTTTACTAATGTTTTGTGTTTAACATTCTACATTCATTATGCTCATTGGAAAAAATCATATTTACTTATGAACCAAAACAGCCATATTCACAAGATTGCCACCATTGTGTCACTGTATTTTTCATGGTTGTTTATAAATTAGCTGACAGAATATTTAGCATTGAGTTAACTGATTCTGAAAATAGTACTGCTGATGTATTCACTGTACAATGAGCTACCAGTAAAATTAGTTTTCCTTTTGATACCTATCTTTAACATTAAATTATTTCATAAACTTCAGAAATGTATCTGGTACTTACTAGTGCAGAAAACTTTTGTCATTGCAAATCTTAAGAGATCTAATTTTTGCATTGTAATTTTGCTATAAGTGATAAACACATTTTTAGGTTACTGCATATTTATGTTGTTTTAGAAGTTTTTATTTTTTACTTTTTTGGTCTGGGAGCAGTGGTTCACACCTGTAGTCTCAGCACTTTGGGAGGCTGAGGTGGGAGGATCTTTTGAGCCCAGGAATTCAAGACCAGCCTGGGGAATATGGTAAGACCTCATCTCTACAAAAATTTTTAAAAATTAGCAGAGCATGGCAGCCTGCTTCTGTAGTTCCAGCTGCTCAGGACACTGAGGCTAGAGGATCTTTTGAGCCCAGGAGGTTGAGGCTTCAATGAACCATGTTCACATCACTGCATTCCACTGTGGGCAACACAATGAAATCCTCTCAAAAAAAGAAAGAAAGAAAAAAATATGTATTATATGTATCTAGAAACTTGAACATCCAAACATCTAACTGTAGTAAAATCATTAAATTAGGTTATACTCATATCATTTTCATATTTTTTAAATTTCAGTAAAAAACGTAAACTTTACTGTCTTACCATTTTTTGGTTTTTGTTTTTGTTTTTTTGTTTTTTGATATGGAGTCTTGCTCTTGGCACCCCGGCTGGAGTGCAGTGGTGCGATTTTGACTTCACTGCAACTTCTGCCTCCTGGGTTCAAGCCATTCTCCTGCCCTAGCCTCCCAAGTAGCTGGGATTACGCCACCAGGCCCAGCTAATTTTTTGTATTTTTAGTAAAGACGGCTTTTACCATGTTGGCCAGGCTGTTCTTGAACTCCTGAACACCCTCCTCGGCCTCCAAAAGTGCTAGGATTACAGGCATGAGACACTGTTCCCAGCTGTCTTATAATCATTTTTAAGTGCATTGTTTAGTAGTTTTAAGTATATTTACATTGTTGTGAAACAGATCTCTAGAATTTTTCATATTGCAAAACTGAAACTATATTCATTTGATAAAACTCCTCTTTGTTGCCTCCCCACAGCCACTAGTAACCACCATTCAACAGTTGGTATCTATGAATTTGGCTCCTTTAGATACTTCATATAAGTGAAGTCATACAGTATTTGTCCTTTTCTGACTAGCCTATTTCACTTAGCATAATGTTCTCAAGTTTCATCTATGTTGGAGCATGAGACAGGATTTTAAGTTTGAGTACTTTTCATATACTACAGTTTTTTTCATTCATCTGTCAATAGACATTGTATATAACTAGGTTGCCTCCACCTCTTGGCTATTGTAAATAGTACTGCTATGGACATGGATTTACAAATCTCTCTTTGAGATCCTATTTTCAGTTATTTTGGATATCAGCCTAGAAGTATGATTATTGGTCATCTGATAGTTCCACACTTATTTTTTTGAGAAACTGCCATACTGTTTTCTGTAGCAGCCTCACAAGTTTGCAATGTCAATAACAGTGCATAAGGGTTCTAGCTTCTCTACATCACCTCTAACATTTTTTTTCTGTTGTTGTTTTTTTTAATCATAGCCATCCTAATGGGTGTAAAGTGATATTGTGATTTTATTTGTGTTTCTCTGAATTATGATGTTGAGCATGTTTTCATATGCTTATTGGCTGTTTGCAGGTCATCTTTGGATAAATGTCTATTGAAGTCCTTTCCCACTTTTAAAATCATGTTATTTGATTTTTTTGCTGTTGAGTCGTAGGAGTTGTTTATGTATTCTGAATATTAAACCCTTCTTGGATACAGAATTTATAAATATTTTCTCCTATTCCATAGATTGCCCTTTCAACTATGTCCCTTAGTGAACAAAAATTTTAAAATTTCATGTGGTCTTACCTTTTTTGGTACCTGTGCTTTTGGTGTCATATACAAGAAATCACTGCCAAATCCAGTGCCATGAAGCTTTTCATCTGTGATTTCTTCTAGGAGTTTGATAGTTTGGGGTCTTACATTTAGATCTTTAAATCATTTCAGGTTAAGTTTTGTGTATGGATTAAGGCAGGGGTCCAACTTCATTCTTTTGCATGTGGATATCCAGCTTCCCTAATACCATTTGTTGAAGAGACTGCCCTCTCCCCATCAAGTAGTCCTGATACCCTTGTTTGAAGATCATTTGGCCATATACATGAGGGTTTATTTCTGGGCTCTCTCTTCTATTCCATTGGTCTTTAATATGTCTGTCTTTATACCAGTACCCTACTGTTTTTATTATGGTAGCTTTTACTAAGTTTTGAAATCAGGAAGCGTGAGTCTTCCAACTTTGTTCCTCTTTTTCAAAATTCTTTTGGCTATGGAGAGTCTCTAAATTTTATACAAATTTTAGAATGAATCATTCCTATTTCTGCAAATAAAAGGTTACCGAAATTTTTCATAGGGATTGTGTAGCTCTTTATATCACTTTGGGTAGTATTGACATCTTCATAATATTAACTTGGGCTGGGCATGGTGGCTCACGCCTGTAATCCCACCACTTTGGGAAGCCGAGGTGGGCGGATCACCATGTCAGGAATTCGAGACCAGCCTGGCCAATATGGTGAAACCCTGTCTCTACTCTAAATACAAGATGGTGGTGCACACCTGTAGTCCCAGCTACTTGGGTGGCTAAGGCAGAAGAATCGCTTGAACCCAGGAGGCAGAGGTTGCAGTGAGCCGAGATTGTGCCACTGCACTCCAGCCTGGGCGACAGAGCAAGACTCCGTCTCAAAAATTTTTAAAAATTTAAAAAATAATAAAATATTTCCACATATTTGTGTCATCTTTAATGTCTTTCAACAATGTTTTATAGTTTTTAGCACACAAGTCTTTCACTTATTTAGTTCAGTTTATTCCTAATTGTTCTTTTTTTTGAGATGGAGTCTCACTCTGTCGCCTAGGCTGGAGTGCAGTGGGGTGATCTTGGCTCACTGCAACCTCTGCCTCCCAGGTTCAAGTGAGTCTCATGTTTCAGTCTCCTGAGCAGCTGGGATTACAGGTGTGTGCCACCATGCCCAGCTAATTTTTGTATTTTTAGTAGAGACAGGGTTTCACCATGTTGGCCAGGCTGGTCTTGAACTCCTGACCTCAGGTCATCCACCCACCTTGGCCTCCCAAAGTGCTGGAAATACCGATGTGAGCCACTGCGCCTGGCTAATTGTTCTTTTTGATGCTATTGTAAATAAATTGTTTTCTTAATTTCCTTTTATGATTGTTCATTGTTACTGTACAGAAACACAACTGATTTTTCTGTTTTGATTTTGTATCTTACAATTTGCTGAATTTGTTTGTTAGTTCCAATAGATTTTTTTAATGGACTTTAGGAGTTTATGTATATAAGATCATGTCATCTCTGAACAGAGATTTTTTACTTATTTCTTTCCATTTTGGGTAACTTTTATGTGATTTTTAATGACCTGAGCAATGGGTACAAAATATTGATCAGTGAAAATAGCCTGTGAAACACTAGAGTATGGTTCAAATTGTGTATATGATATGCAGAACTTCATAATTACAGTACTTACAGGACTGGAAAAAAAATCAAAATGCTAATGGTGTCAGCCTGAGCAACATAATGGAGATCCCATCTCTACTAAAAAAATTTTTTAAATATCATCTGGGCGTGGCAGCATAAACCTGTAGTCCTAGCTACTTGGGAGGCTGAGGCAGAAGGATTGTTTGAGCCCAGGAGTTTGAAGCTGCAGTAAGCAATGATTGTGCCACTGCATTCCAGCCTGGGTGACAAGAAGACTCTTTCCCTTAAACAAACAAAAAGTGAACAATGGGTGTCTCTGGTACATTTGTGGTTGATTTTTATTTCATTCTTGATTTTTTTCCTTTCTTTTTTTTTTTTTTTTTTTTTTT